TTGCTCTGAAAGGCAAAACTTGCTCGAGGTTGCTAAAACCGCAAAAAGTTGCTCCAAACGCCAAAAGTTGCTCAAAAGTTGCCGAGCTCAATCGGGATAGGCCTAGCCGCATATACCTATATAGCCCATATAAGGGAGTACTTCCCCGGGGGGTTTCGCTTGTCTTGCTCAGTGGCTGGTCCAGAGGTGTTCAAAAAGGTTAAGGGGAGGGCAGGGTGAGAATGGGCTTTCTCACCAGGCATGGGAACCGGTGTGGAGGGAACGTGGGTTCTTTCCAATAAGGACAGTGTGATGTTTTGGTTCGACGAATTTAACGCAGATTTAACACGTTGCTGATAACAGTCGCCATTTCGTAATTTATTTTACGCTACTCGATTTAGTTATCAAGCAGACTTTTTGGAAGTCAAGGGACTCCGCAAATCCTGCATAATACACAATGGGCTTTTCTTTGGCTGCATTTATTTGTTCGCGCTTCCCCTCTTTTTAAAAGGGGGAAGCCCGAACCAAAAAAATGCAGCCAAAGAGGGTCCTTCTCATCACTGCTACTCACTTACTCGTCTTCGTGCTACCTCTTTTACTTAGCGGTCTGTATAATGGGAAAATAAACGTCCAAGCTAAAAAGGTCTCTCACTCACTCCCCAAGTATTCATTCATTCATTCATTCATTCGTTTATTCAAAGTCTAGTCAATTTTACAGGTGACAAGTAACAACGTCTTTATCATCATTTAATGAGATATAAAAGTAAACCGTTCAGGTCTGCTCTTCATTCATTCACCTACTCATTCATTCATTCTCCCATCCCGACAATTCTCACTGCGGAACTCTCACTAATTTATACATTAATTTTTCCCTACCTCACTGTCAGCTTACTCCTGGCCAACTTGCTCGCTTTCTTACTTACTGATGCGAATTAATTTTTTTTTTTTTTTTTTTTTTTTTATTTTTTTTTATGAGTGCTGCTAAGGTTTTCCCGCGTTACAGATTATCGGTAAACCAGTACCAGTCGGTCTCTTTTTTTCCTTCGGAGAATTTGGTTTCTTTTTTTTATTCCTTATCTTATTTGTTGAGCATTACACAAACAAAGCATTTCCATGACGTAAGCAAAACTGACATTTGTTCCGGCGAAACTGAAATAAAAACCCTTCCGTCATACGACTGTTTCAGACTGTTCCAATATTTCAGTTTTATCCGGCTGGGCTCGTTATCGAAGGGTAAGGAAACGATTCCGCTGTTTTGAATTTTCTTTGGCTGCGTCAGTACGTACGATTCCAGAATGTTTCGTGTTCTGTACGAAATACTGTTGATCTCTATTATCGTCATCGTCGTTGAACAAGGTGAGTGAAGAAAACAGTATTTGTAACCAAGCGAATTTTGTTGAGTCTCTTTAAAATGGTTTGGTGAATCTGCCATTATCTCTTTGCTTTGAATTAAACTTGGGACTCAGTCTTTGACGTTTTAAGACTTGCATTAAAACACTTGCTTATTTGGCTATAGCATGGGACGTTTTCACTCACCTTGCTCAAAATTTCTATAATCACATGATGAAACTCAGCCGGCAGGAAAGCATTGGTATGGCTGCCTGAATCGGTCAAAATAACGAGCAGAAACGGAATTCTATCCCAAAATGCCCCATTTTTATTCGAATCGTACCATGATTGTAGCCCTAGTGAACGGAAAATGTTTCTGGATTGTTTAATGTATCCAAAATGATTGAAATAATTCATTTATCAACCTCGATCAAGAATCAACAGAAACTAGTAGAAATTATTTTGTAAAGCATCCAACAAAATTATCTGAAGAGGTGATTTCTTTTCTTTTTGTTTACAAATAGAGTATCATGCCTTCGCATACAAAGACGTGTATGTATCACGCCATCGCGGAAACGATTCTTACAATTGTGGATCAAAGAATGAACCCTGCAGAACGCTTGCGCGAGGCATACAAATGGCTGACCGGAATGACCGCATTTTGTTGGATGGATCATTTACTAAGTCAGATCCCTACAACTGTGGAATAATGAATCTTGAGAAAAAAGGGAAAAACAAATTTTTAAAAGATGAAAATTACACTATAAACGTTAAAGTCAGCCTGAAAATCATTGGATTTCCTTCGTCGGCTTTCATTTCATGTGACGACTTGCTCCGCTTCACGGGTCCATCCGCGAAGAAGGAAGAAATGGACGTTAACTTCACAAACATTGTGTTTACAAACACGTCGATGGTCTTCACCGATTCTTCCGTTTCCTTTGTAAACTGTAGCTTCCTGCAAAGTTTCAATCCAATACAAACAAAGCTGGTTTTCCACCAAAGTGCGACAGTGGCTGTTAAAGGCTCCTTGTTCTATAAAAACACAGGTTGTATTCGTCTGGCGCTGTTCGAGAGCGATACACAAGCGGCTATCCACTTGGACAATGTAAACTTCATACAAAACAGACCTCCCTCGAACAATGAAGGAAGTGGAATCTCGATATATGGCGCATCTCGTACTTTAATGCTACATATAGACATTAATATTTCTTGTAAAAACGTATTATTTTCCAACAATGTAGGTCCTCTGATTACCAACAACGTTTCATTTTCTGAAACCAAAGAATTTTATCAGCGCGTTAAATTCGTCAAAAACTCTGTTTTACTGAATGCTTCGTCAGGAAAAGGTCTGTACTTCTCTGAAGGAAGAAATGTAACTGTTGTTTTTGATCACATAGTATCGACGGGAAACGCTGCCAATATCAGATGCGTTCAGTTTGACTCAAGTGCAGTAAAGCTAAAAGTCTTCAACTCTGAAATAAACGGCCACTCTCTGGCGGCGCCCCACTCTGGTGCAGGTATCCTCATACAGGCAGTAAGATCAAGTCACGTGTTCATTAAAAATTCGTCGTTTAATGGAAACACAGCAGCCCATCGAGGTGGAGCAGTGGCGTTTAACGTAACCGGCGGTGTAATAAATGTGACTGTTTGCAAATCAAATTTCACAAACAACTCAGCCCTGAATGGCGGAGCGTTTTCCGTCAATAGCCAACTCGGATTTGTCCTCGTCGACCTCGAGCACGTTTCGTTTCGAAATTGTCGTTCCAATCGTACTGGCGGTGCTTTGTTTATAATTAAGAATAGACTCGTACAATTTAGGGCTAGGTTCTGCTCATGGATGTCTGGCACTGCACAAGTGGGATCTTCAATTTACATCTCTTCGTTCCCTACGATGACACAAAGTAACGCTACGACAAAACTGAAGAATTGTAAGTTTGTTAATAACAGCGACATGCTTCTTGGAAGCGTTTTTGTGATGTCCAGTGTCGGATCAGTGGAAGTCTTTCAAACTCGATGGAACAAAAATAGCCGGGCCTTTGCTGTGGTGTGCAACTGTCGTGTCAATTTCACGGAAGTGAACGTAACTGAATGTACTGGCACAGCTTTTCATGGCTTGTCATCCAAAAGGAACCGAGACAGTATGAAGCTGCATTTCGAAAGATGTGTGTTTCGTGGAAATAAGGAAGGTGACATCTATGTTTTCGCAGAAAGCCGTTATCTACAGCTAACTTTAGAATCGATAAAGTTTGTTGAGAAAAAGAATGTAAAGAAGGAAGAATGTAATGCGGTGTTGGTCAAGTTGTACGAAACCGTTACCTCTGGATCCAAAATAGAGTTACGCAACGTTCTTATTGAGGAGTTTGTTGGTTCGGCTGCAGTGATTCTCAAATCTCTCAATAGCAATACAACCAACACAGTGACAATAACAAGCAGCACGTTTCGTCGGATACGAAGTTATTACTCCGAAAAGTACCACTCAGAAACAAGCCCGCTATCAATAGTCCTGCCCCTTGATAACCTCGATCAAAGCATTTGCTCACGGTCGTATCTGAGTTATCAATATCAAAATACGATAATTATCGAGAATACTTCATTCGTCGATAACATCGGACGAGTGGCCGGCGGGGTCTACCTTACAAATGGTAACGTCACCATACGCAATTGCACCTTCGAGAACAACTTTGCTATCAATAGGGGTGGACATGTTCGTATTTCGGATGGAAGTGGAAGCATCCGGATTGAGAATTCCACCCTCAAACAGAAATCGCAGGAAATTGTTTTTACTGGCGAGACGTTCGTCCATGATACATCGATTTATTCCGAGAGTACAGGCCAACTTCGTCTTCAAGCAGCTTGGGTTACAACTGACTTAGAAAAAGACTCATACCGTTTGTTCTCTGTGTCTAAATCTGGCCTCGTCAAACTTGATAACTCTACGAAACTACAGTGTGCAGTGGGCAGTTTGCTTAGATTTGATAACTTTTCCCACTTCATGCTTTGGCCTTTTGCTAAACACCCTTGCAAGTTGCAAGTGACTGTAATAACACTGTCATGCCATCAGTGCTCCCCCGGTCTGTACAGCCTCCAGAGAGGAGAAATAACCGCCCCGTTTCAAAAAGGAGTTGATTCGTTATTTAATCCATTCTGCTTTCCTTGCCCTGATGGAGCAAATTGTTCCCGCAACATCGAAGCCAAACCGAACTTTTGGGGATATCCTGACTCAAATAACTCAGGTTCGCTTACGTTCGTTCACTGTCCACCACATTACTGCAAACCAATCAAAAGACGGGGCACAAACTTATCAGTTTACAACAGCTGTCGGGGCAACCGAGATGGCGTCATGTGTGGCAGGTGCATGGCGGGATACTCCGAAACTCTGTTTTCCAAAAAATGCAAACCAAGTGAAGAGTGTCAAGATCCTTGGATTTGGTTGGTGATGACGGTTTACACTGTGGCAATGGCGTTGTTTTTCATTTATAACCCACCAATTATACAATTCCTTGTTGAGAATACGCTGTGGTGTAAAAGATCTCGCAGCAGAATGGAATATCAAGAAATTGATCAACCGAACAAGTTCAACAAAGGCTACACAAAGATCACATTTTATTTCTATCAGATCGCGAGCTACCTAACTTTGGAATCTTTCACTGAAATAGCTAAAGAAGCGCCATTAATTTCCTTTATCACCGGTTTATTTAATTTCCAAACAAGAGTTTCACGAGGAAACTTCGGCTGTCCATTGGCTGGACTAACCGTTGTGACTAAGGAGCTGCTACCAGCATCGGGAGTCTTGGCCACGCTGTTCAATATACAAGTAATACTACTGCTGCATCTCTGTTTCAATAAAATCACGGGTCGACCACGCCCAAAAATGGCCTCGTATTATGCAGCTACGCTGAAAACGCTGTTGCTTGGTTACGCAACACTGGCCAACACTGCCCTGAAGCTTTTAACGTGTGTTCAGGTTCTGGGCGAGAGCAGATTGTATTATGACGCGAACATAAAATGCCTGGAATGGTGGCAGTACGGTTTCATTGTTTATGTCGTTGCATGTCTTCTTCCATTCATAGCAGTCATCTACTGGGGAGCGATGAAACTTCAGAGACAGTTGATCTCCGTCGAACATTTCATCGGAGCGTGCTTTTTTCCGTTGGGCTTCGTATGTTTGTGGCTTATTGAGAAACTCGTTTGCACTCGCAATCGACATCAGGTGACAAGCGAGTCAAGTGCAGAGGTGTTAAAAGTGTTACACGATCCGTTTCGTCCTCCAAGGCCTCACCAAACTGGTTCCTTGTACTGGGAAAGTGTTATGATTGGCCGACGATTTCTGCTTCTCTCGTTTCAGGTCTTTTTTCCAGATCCTCTTCTCCGACTGTTCTTCATGGACATGACCTGTTTACTTGTTTTCACTTGGCACGTGGTAACCCGGCCGTTCCGAGACCAGAGGGCAAACATCTTGGAAGCCGTGTCACTCGCTTGTTTAGTTGTCATAGCAACCATAAATCTCATTCAGGCCATCTTTCTGTCCGCTGGAGTAGCGCCACAAGGTTCTGTGGAAAGAGATCTGATCGTTCTGCAGCAAGTTGAGATCTGTTTATTGGCAATAGCACCTTTGCTACTCGTCTTCCTGTGTGGCTTTGCTGTTGTTTCCCAAGTCACTCGTGTCGTTGTTATTGTGTTTCGCAAAACGTTTACATTTGTTCTAATGCGACGAATCAAAGTTATGGGACAGTATTAAAAAAAAACAGGAAACGTTAGATAAAGGAACGTCTACTTTGTTAACAAACCGCTCTAGATCTGGCTCTACATTGAATATTCTTAGCTCCTCGTCTAATGCCTTTATAAAGGAGTGTGTACTCATCCATGAGATGTTGAACTTCGTTTAACTGCTTTTAAGTTCCATTATGCTGGGCTTTTTATTAGCATGCTACAAAGTAAACTAATGTTAAAAGTTATACTGAAATTCTTGTGGTTGTTTTCAACCAAATGATCAACTGTCTGCAAAGTCAGTTTTTTTTTGTATATATTATTAGTGTTATTCTTTGCTGGAATACGCAAGGACAGGTATAGCCTTAGTCTCTTAGTCTATGATGATCTCTGATTATAAGGGCTGACACACTCAATCAATCCGTTCAAACTATTGTACAAACAGCAGGCTAAATTAATATTTTGCAAACATATATTGCACAAATGATTCGCACCATATTTACGTGCTTTTATTTGTTGCGGGATAGTAATCTTACAATAAATGTACACAAGACAAGGGTTCAGTGTAGATTTTATTTCGTCAGTTCATCCAATGTTTAAGAACACGTCTTTTTTAGCATTTCGACTGCGGGTAACCTTTATATTTCTCGTGGTAAGGATTGCTGGCAAAACATTTGGCGGCCGTGGCATCACATTCGCAGAGAGCATTACGACATTTGCCCCAAAACCAGTAGTAGGAAGCTGGTTCTATAGAAAAAGTGAAGAAAATTGACTGGAAGTGCTAAATTGTTTCTACCATTTATTCATTTATTATAATTCACTCTATCGCACCCTGGTCTCACTCCTGGAGGAGTATTCCCAGAAAAATTGGGTGGGGGTTTCTAGCCCGCTTCCCAAAACCCTTACCCTATTTATGACCAAAATCTGCGATTTTTCCTACCTTATTTACGACCTGAACAAAAATTCGATACCCTATTTATGACTGTTGCAGCTGGTACAGTTGCCCTAAACATAGTTTATGAAAGGATTTTGTTGAAGGTCTTATCGATAATGATAAAAAAGCAGCTTCTATAAAAACGTACCCAATTCAAGACTAGAGTGCAAAAACCATACCGTATTTTAGTCTAGAACGGCCAAAATCAATTCCCTATTTATGACCAAAACGGCTGAAAAACCATACCCTTTGGGGCCGCATATAGGCCTGTCCCGATTGTGCTCGTAAAATGCTGGAAAGTTGCTCACTGGAATGCCAAAAAGTTGCTAAAAAATTGCCAAAAATCCAAAAAGTTGCTACCAAAATTTCAAAAGTTGCTGCCTAAATTTCTTGCNAGCAAAAAAGTACGAAAGAAAGGACTACTTGCAAGTACTAACTGTTATGTAGAATAGACCGTTCTTTGTGCTCAGTGGAAAATAATGATTTTTACTTAGAACTTCCCGTTAGTAACAACAAATTCTGCGTGCATCTTCCTTGTTGATTGGCTAGAGCAACTTATACACTAATGTTTTAAACTTTCAAAATGAACTCGTGTAGGTTTGACAGGTTTTACGCCTTTTTAATGAAAGGTTTGTTGAGTTTTTTTTTTTTTTCATTCATTCATTTACTAGATCGTTTGTTCTTATCTTCGCTCTTTCATTTCGTTTGGTTGTCTGTTTATATATGAATGATTGGATCTTGTTTTGGTTTGGCATCGCTAGCTGAGGATATCATAATAAGGTAATTACTACGTACCGCAGATTGTGCAGCTTTCTGTTGAATATGGCATCAAGTAAGTTGCAAGGTTAAAAGGGCAGACATTGGACGCCTTGGTGTTCTCGTAGCACAGGTCATGACTTCGACAACACCTGCGGAAACGAGACAAAATCAGAAGATGCTTGTGAACTTTAAAGTAACAGATGTGTCTAATCACTTCTCACTGCCATCTCCCTCCTCCACGGATGTGAGGTTCACAATTTGAGGCGAAACATCCCATTGTTATGACGTGGCACTAGTGTTTCTGTTTTTCTGTGTTGCCAAGCTCATTTGATTCTCAGTACCCGAGCACATCCGGGTCGCGAGGAGTATATGACCGGAGCGTTCCTCATATTTTGCCTCCTTCTTATAGCCTGCTGCGTGGCCAGGCTATGCATCTCTTGGGCTATTAGTGTCTGGGTCAACCTAGTCCTGGTGTTCTCTCTTGCTTCCCTGTCAGCGCGTTGTTTTGAAGGACTGGGCAAGAGAACGCGTCATCAGCGAATGGTCTTCGATGACGTCCAGGCTCCCTGAAGCCAAGAACGCTTAGGGACTTATTATGTCTGTCTAGATCGCGGAGATCTCATACAGGCGGGGATTGAGATGATCGTGTATGAGACACATCTGCTTTAAAAAAACATTCTCCATTTGTTGTGCCCAAGATATAGATCTTTTTCCAAAGAAAAAGAACGACAAAAATTACCTTAGAGGAAAAGGAGTTGGCGAATGGGGGGAGAAACAAAGGGAGGAAGGGAGGAGGCAGAGAAAGAGGACTAAGGAGGAGGAGGAGGAGGAAGAGGAAGAAGAAGAGGAGGCGGAGAAGGAATTATGCATCGACAAGTAAAAAGTCTGAAGTTATTGCTTTTGTGTTCCGTTTAAGGTAAAAGAAGGAGGACGCTAAACTCCGAAAACGCTGGACACATCATAATAACAACTGAACAGGTATAAAAAATTACGTGTTCACCTGTCCACATTGTCAACTGGGGTACCTTTTCCACCAATACCACACCAGCAGCCATAGCCAATGTAATCAAAAGCACTTCTTCGAGTAGCGCAGCCAATCATGATACCAAACTCGATCACGCCTCTCTTGGTAGAAACGAAGTTTTTGTCTCCTGATAAGAAAACATTATCTTATCTCACAAAACTCTCATAGAGCCTATTACTTTACTTTAAATTTATAGATCTTCCAGAATTCTAGCCTGTCATTCATAACAAATATTATTCACCTGGCAATTAGTCTCTTATCTGAAGGGTACTGTTTTTGGTGGTGTTGTCTTCGTCTTTTAAAGGTGAAATGTGAAATGAACCGTTGAACTCATAAGTTGGTCGTATTATGAAGGTGACATCCATAACCCAATACTGAGGAGTGTGTAAAAATGCGTCGAAAATTGCATGCCAACTCTAATAAAGTTTCGATGTAACGTGCCCTCGAACGGGTTGAAACAGCGTGCTTTTTCAGACAACAGGTGCACGGCAAGCTACGGTAAGCTGAATTTCTCATTTTTGCTTCTGCATTTTGACAAAATTTGACCCAAAGTAAACGTCCCCTATGACCCAGACAAGCGAAATTGAAACCGGAGTTATTTGTACATGTAGCTTACATGTCTGCTATAAACATAGCTGCAAGAAGTAGGCAGAAACGCTCGTCAACGTTTCGTGGTTCCCCGTGCACTTCTTTGGTACTCTACCGCTTCCTGCCTACTTTACAACAGAACAGAGCACGGTCCAGGCTTCTTTATTCGTTAATTATTCTTCCGCATTCTATGACGTCATTTCAACCACGTAAGGTCAAGAGAACACGCTACACATCCGATGGAGACTGTACTATACCGTTAGTGGTGTCCCATTTTGGAGCTCAATAACAGGAAAATGGAGTACAATAATAAATGCCTTATTCGATTCCAAGAGGTTTATTTGATAATATAACGAGGAGTTTTATTTTATCAATATAAAATGTTATCGTCTAAGTCACCAAGCACAGATAAGATTTTGCATGATTCGTAAAATTTTGGCAATCAAGAGCATTCATTCTAACGCATTCTTTTTTAATATTCTAAGTTTGCCGCATCAGTACTGATGTACTTAGGGGAATTTACCAGTAATATGTACATTAAGCATTAGCAAAAAGGCCGGCAACGTATTCCTGTCACGTGACCCTAGCTCTACCGACGCGTGTAGCTGATGTGTTTACCTGCTGAGACTTCCTTGTTGCAATTGTCGATTTCAACCTTCGGAAAAAAGGATAGCTCGATAGTTGTGAATGCAATTATTTAAGGAGAAAAATGAATATATTTTTGAGGTTTAATAGTTTACTGGTTACATAAATCATAAAAACACGTACGAGAAAGATAAGATTCGATGGTAAACATCGAATGAAGACTTTGCTAAGGGGAACTCGATAGCGAAACATCCAGTGTGTTCAGTAACATTCTGTAGCGTTCAGTATGTGTTCAACGACCAAAAACGTTATGCGATCTAAAAATAAGTATTACTTTTCAGGCAACCATTGAATTCTTTAAACCAATGCCAGTGCCCATGTAAACCCATGTAATCACTTTTAGCAGCCTCAAAAATAGTTGAGCTTTTCAAAGTAGTTATTCAGAGTATCATGGTTCGCTTCTGATAAACTCCATTTTAAGGCGAACGGAACAACACCTTATTACTCAATATCTGTCAAGTGGTCGCATACGGGAGTTTAAAAACAAAAGAAAATTTCAAACTTCTAGCTCTAAAAATGGCCGCGGTCGCTTACGAGAGGTCCCAAATATAGTGATTTGACTTGGAAATCTTTGGTATTTTGGAAAACTGGTCACTGAGGAGAAGTGGTCGCAACCGAAGGTTCGACAGTACTGGCGTTAGGCAATAGCATTACCAACTGTTTGCAAAGGTTTAAGATCTGATCCGCTGATTGCAACATGCTGAATTAATGAATCCCCATTAGAAAAATAAAAAAAGGTAAACTATAGATTGGCTGGGTTTTTTGGAACCTTTTTGTTTTTTTTTTCCTTAAGTCGTCAAAGTGATTTGGATACTTTATACCTACGTTACTTTCCTCTCTTTCGTTTGCACGACCTAGAGTTGAGGGTACTTTAAACTATAAAAGATTACCCGGGCTATTGGTTTTTTGCAAATTAACTGAATGGGAGAATTGCTGAGGACTTCACCTTCACCTAACTCCTTGCGACTTAGTGGCCCATAAGGCCTCAGCTAAGCCTATAGTACATGTACTCACAAAAATAGTATATTACGTAAATTGTATGTAATTTTCCTAACTTAACAGCTTACCGACTCCGCTAAGAGGAAAGTTAAATCAGTTAACACCAAAACGAGAATGAATCTGGCAATCATTCTCTTGAACTCGCTTAGATTTTTTTCGTGGGCAAAGCAGGAAGAGTAAGTTCAAAATTCCAGATGGCAGACCAAATGAACAAGCCAGTCGATATTGGTTTAGACTTTGCCCCTCGCTATGAATGTAATCTATCATATGATACAGACTGATATTTGTTCTTTTGAGTCTCATAACTAAGATGGAAAATATCATATGCAATAAAATAAATAATTGTTGTCAATGAGAATAGCGCATCAAAAATTGCTCGAGTTTAAATTTATAAATTGACAAGATATAGCCCTGAATAATGAAAATTTCCTTAATCCTCTTCGAAATTAGTTTTATCAAGGAAACTGTTAATTTTGTTGAAAATGTGATTGGTCAGAGCAAACCAGGGATAACAGGCGAGGCGAGAAGCAAATAAATACTGATATTAACTGCTTACAGGAGCTGATATGTTTTCCAGTGTAATAATCAGCAGTTTCTCGAAACCTCATAAACGAGATTCGTGCGATCAGCTGTCGCAAATATTAAGAAAAACATCTAAACTTGAACAGTGATTAACAAATTCAAAGGAACCTGACTCGTCCTGCCCATATCGACGAGTGTTGACGCTCATCTGTGTTTAACAACAACTGATTGAGTAAGCACGATTTGTGATAACTGAGTATAAAAACTAGAGAAAACGTGGAAAAATACTTACTTTCTATACAAGGTATGCGAAAACCAGTCAGTTTTAATGACATAACGTTTTTTGAGAGTGATAACGTAGCTGCAGCTCAGGATGGCTTGGAATATCATTAGCCTAATCACATCGAATTATTGAACAATGACGTCCGGCGCTAGAAGATCTTAACGACACTTCGGGTGAACGTGAGCCTCATCATGATAAACGGAAAGTTCTGATATTGTCCCCCGGTTTGAAATGTACATGCATTAGGCGACTTGTCTCAGTTTAAGTGGTATGGCTGTGAACTAGCTAGGTGTAGCCAAGCGCGTTGACCACGATAAACAACAACATAATTGGATATTTTTCTGTTGGAACAAGTCGTGAAAACAGAACCCTGCTATTTCTACAGTGTCCCCTTTTTGTGGGATTACGCTCGAAATGTGGGAATAGATATCGAAAGAGAAAGCCTCGTGGAACTTCAAATAACGTTCAGAGAAGTTCGCTGAGTATCTTGGTGGCAAAGCAAATTAATAACTTCCAAGTCAGTGATATCACTATCTGAGACGTATGTGACTCAAATAAGATGTAACTGGATATCATGATCTGGTAAATTTCCAACTTATTTGCACCATTGGCGCACTGATATGATAAAACGCCGAAAGAACTAGACAAATATGATACGCTGTCAAGAAAGAAGTACGTAAATGGCAAGCTGTTTTAATTTTCCTGCCAAACAGTGATAGATTTGTGTGCTTCCTTCTTTTTTTCTGTCTCAACATATATTTGCACAAAAAGTAATTTGAGACAACATTTATTTACAGCTCCGGAGCCATTACAGCTTTTTTGCGGATTAAAAGTGATAATTTTTCCACAAGTACACGTCAACGTGTCATTCAAAAGTGAATACCTTGCAATAGACCATAGACCTAGTTGCAGTGCCTCTTTTTCATAACGAGTCTTTGTGCAAACCTTTTCACATCAAAATGAGATTGATTCCCACGAAAGTAAACTGGCAGGTGGAACATATTTTCATTTTGAATGATTTCGCGGGTAGACTCGTTTAGACACAAAGACTAAAGTCGGCTCGGAAATGGCCCAAGGAACACCCAAAAGAGCTGTCGCAAACAGGAGGCGGCTACACCAGATAATCTGCTGGCTAAAATTTTAACCCATTCATCAAATATGCCGCAAAACAACGTCATGGGCTTTAGTATAACTATTTAGTAGCGTTATTCACTGATATCACCACTGAGCTTTTAAAAAACACGTAATCTAAGAAACAAAATCAACATCGAATTTCGCTAGCATTGTTAATACATTTCCAAGAAGATAGGTGAGGATAATAAAGAAAATCATCAATATGGCGGTATAATTTTGATTGACCACCAAATTCTCATCACTCACAATAAAACAGATGTATGAAAATCAGTGAGGAGAACTGAGATCTTACAAGTCCAATGGACAAAAATGTTTAAAAGTAATCAATTTTAGTTTGGGCAAATTTGCTCTTACTTTACTTAAACAAGCAAAAATGAAAGATTTAAATGTAGCTTCAGCTAAGGTACAATGATTTCTTTAGCCATTAGAACAGGTCTTCCTAAATTAAGAATTCGAGCGTTTGACAAGTTTGCAATCTTATTTAGCACGAGAACAAAACCTGCCAAGAAATATATTATTATTGTTATATGCAGAATACAGAATCCAAAATATCTGTTTGTTCCACACAAAAAATAATTGCAAGATTTTCAAAACTCAGGATCATTAAAGTATTTCAGTTCCGAGGTTTCAGCCTTTGTATAACGCTCTAAACCGTGGAACACCAAATTGTTTTTTTGGTTTGAGAATAAAGTTCATTTAGAATGGAGCTTTATATTTGACAACTAGAACGTCAAAGAAAGTAAACATCATGAGATTGCCACAAGGCTTAGGAAATCTTTTAATTAAACTTTTAATGAAATAATTTAGTAAGTAGAATTGAAGGGGAAGTTTGCCAGCTAGGTCAAACTCGTGTATATACCCGTCAAAGAGATAATTTCTTTCTTTTTAAAAATGGCTCGCAATGTTTGTTATCATCATTGTGGAAAATACTCTAACACCAAAAATAACAGAGGCCACACGTCGTGGAACCAGACCTGGCGAAATGTTCAAGGTAGCGGCAAGGAGGCAATATTTCGCCGCACAAGTTGCATCGAATTCCACTCTGCCGAAAATGTTGCTCAACGAAATGGCCTGCTGGGTCCAGATTTTGGAACTGGCCAAATATTATATCGAAGACCCAGGCTCGTGCGGGGATGGTACCTTGGTAAAGAGCCATTGGAGTATCGAAAGCCATCAACACCTTTCAGATTTAGTTTTCAAATAAAGGACAGAGACGCCGCTGAGGAAAACGATAAATTGAAATATCTCAAGAGCAGAAGCATAATCTACCCCGAAAGCATGACTGTGGGAATCTGCAGCCTGCAAGCGAGACCGGTTAGACGAGAGGGAAGGGTTGGAACAGCAGTATCTAACATTTCGACCGCTGGATTGAAAGAAAAAAGCAATAAAGTGCAAGCTATTAGAGCACTGAATACAGAAAGAGCTCCCAAACTTAGCGAAAGACCCAGGAAAGAAGACTCCAAATCGACCGATAATGAAACTAAGATTAAAATAGATTCAAAGAATACGGACAAGCTGAGACTGAAAGGCGAAATTCCTCGATCCCATTTACGCCAGAAAAGTCCAGTTAAAGGGAAAAAGCAAAGATTGCCGAAACGGGACTATCTTTACGGGAAAAAGGAAAACAGTGTGGAGTTTGGTGATGAAATTTATCTTGACAGAAAAAAAATTCCAGATTGCTGTGTGGAATGTTTCATTTTCGAAGAGAGTGATTACGACATTTGGTCACGAAAAGAAAAGACTTGAAGTGTTTTCTCAGCCACACCACCAATGCGTCTGTAAATCAAGAATTTCTTCAAGTAGCTTGTTGAACTCCTATTCAAGCATGTTCATTGCTTCCTTTGTTGCAGTACGGAGCGAGCCGAAGGCTCGGGGTGGCACAAAACAAATTTTTTTACGGGGAGCCGTTCTCCCCCAGGTCTAAGCTCTTTATATATATATATATATATATATNTTTTTTTTTTTTTTTTTTTTTACGGAAAAGGTAACGCCGTCATGTACCTTTCATAGAACATGGTAGGTCTTTTGCAGATCTTTGCAAAAAAGGCTCACAAGAAAGTTTCTACCCTAAGAAATCCTCACATCGCACTTCCTCGTTACTTATATACTAGGCACTTTGAATGGCCTTTTTAGGTACCTAAATGATAGTTTTTCCCACCCTTTTCTATGCTTCATCTCGTAAAGCTCTAACCCTTTATATACCTCTACCCGGAAAATTCTTAAAAAGGACGCCTTTCGGCCGGAGCCCCCTCGTATAACCCATTATAGGGAGTACCACACACCCCCGGGTCGAAGACGAGGGTATATGTTCCTGAACAATACTTCCGTAATGCACAGGCTATGCAAACCATTTTTATTGGTAATTGGGGATTATGCAAATGGCAATATAAAAGAATTTACGCGTGTTCCACCCCATCACTCTACTTGAGGCCTCCGGAGGTTGGCGACCCACCCTTCCACTCAACGAGCAAGTCGGTCTTGATCTAGCTGTCCGCTTCTATTTTCGCCTGGTCTGGGGCTTGTCCCAAGCCAGAGCGATTCCCCATAACCTATTATCATGTCATTAATAACAATTCGCAGGGTAGAATATTACACTATTCACCTCGCGAAAGTTCAATAACTTGTACATGTTACGGTGAAATTAAATTTGCTGTCAGATTCTAATTTTTTTTTGTTTTCTTTTTTTTTTCAAAGAAGTTTGATTTTAGTTTTCCCATCTGTCAGACTATGATGATAAATTTGAGATACAGGAAAATACAAATCAGTGATGACTACTTTTTACGTGCGTACAGGGGCATGCGCCGAATAAGCTTTCATTCCAATTTTCTTCGCCATCAGCAACCGCGGTGCTTTGGAAAACAGCCCAGTTAATCTGTTAATTGAAGAAAGTTTAACAAAAGGTATAGTTCCTTTAAACGAATCCGCTCATTTACTACCACGGAATATTCACAAAAGGAAATATTAGGGGAATTTTCAGAAATAGTCGATAACATGATTGGGCATGGGTGTAAATGCTAAGCCAAAAACTGTCACGAAATGAAAAGGAGATAGAATCTTTTCAAATAACATTGTTCCTATCATCTAAAGAAAAGAAACAAGTTTTACCTGTTAGTTTATTTTAATTTCTTGGCTGTTCCTCAAAGATCAATTATGTCAAATTTCTGTCAAAAGTTTTCAATTAACTTTTATTAACATCTGCTCTGGCTTGTATAATTTTGCGAAATGCAAATTTGAAACGAAAAATTTGACTTGCTCCACCAAATAGTCTTAGGTATCGATGGCTAGCAGCGTGTCTGTCATATTAATGTTCGATTATTGCCTTCTTCGCTTGGACTTAAGAACTGTCTATTTTATTTTCGGTTTTAATGATCAAGGGGAAAGAAAAACCCGATAGTTTTCCGTTTTCAGGCTGTATTCGCCTCTGCCGTCTCCGAGACCATTTGTTGTAGTCACTCTGTTCGAAAGCGACTGCTTCAAGAGACAAATGAACCTGCCCCGTCTTCTTATCGACAACTGTCGGAAGTTTAACAATGGACTTTAGATGATGTTTTTGTTTCTTGCTGTTTTTCATTAGATTTACATTTAAAGGTAGAAGCAGTTTATTGCTTTCTCGTGAATATGAGTTATTTTGTTGTATAGTTTCTGCCGTATTTGAACTCTCTTTCTTTACCTGTTTCCCTGAATCTATCGCCCCGAAATGTGTTTCCCATCTCGCTGATATTTGTGGCAAGCATCTCGGGTTGCTAGGCTTTAAATAACTGTTTCCTTTGGGATAAAATATTCTTTTTAAATAGCATTTTCCAGGCCTCTCAGGATTTTTCCCTATTATCGCAAGATCGCCATGGGGAGAGATACGGTTTTCAGAATCATTTTGATTTTCAGAAGTAATACCATTTGTTAAACTTAAGTCCTTCGAGTTTCCGACCTTCTGTTCCCTTGAAAGTGAATCTACATCATAACTGTACTGCAGTGCGTTCTTCCTCTCGAGAAAACGCTGTTCTATAAATTTCTCAGGTCGTTGCTTCGACATTTTGTCGAAATCGTCTGTAGCTTTTTTCTTGGGTCCCGCTGCCGTGACATGACGGATTGCACTCCGGCGAGCCACACGCGGATTGCCTTCGTTTACAACTTGTTTCATATCATCAACTCTTGACGTTTCCAAACACACATAAGGTCGGTTTAGGAGTTCTTGTTGGCCCGTAACACCTGTAAAAGATGGCTTTTTTTCAAAGGAGACATGCCTTTTTATACTACCATCGACAGCGAATCCATTCAAGTCTAGAATTCTTATCTTGCTTTCCGCTTGGTCTGATGCGTTGGCAACTTCTTTCCAGCTGAAATCAATCGCCCTGCTACGCGAAAAGTTCACTTTCTTCCCTGAGAAGACAGTTTTGTCGAAAAACACCTTGCTGTCGACTGTCTTGCCGTGAATAGGTGGTTCTGTTTGTAAACCAAGCTCAGAGATGACGTACATTGTGGCTTTTCCAAACTGCAGCTCGTTTTTCGAATGAGTATTTCGTTCGGCCATGATGTCCGTTCGATATCCCGTTTTTAAATTTTTAACTCACGCAGTTTCATGCGCTAAGTGATTCTTCTCTAATCCTCGATCGCTTTTCGCTTGTTTGCTTTGAGGTTTGTGTTTTAAGACAGCTGAAATTCATCGCTGCTCTGACAGCAAACAAAAAAATCCTTCTTCCTGATCTCTTCGTTAAGTTATTGAAGCCGAGTAAAATTACTCCACTTCAAACCGTTCAGGAAATGAGCCGGTTTTGAAAAGAAGACCTGGAAACAGCATCAAAGGCGAAACATCTGAAACGTCCGTTACGAAAGAGAAAATAACTGACTTTCCGTCATCAAATATTTGACTTAACTGACACGAAAATTTCTAAAATATTGATCACTCGAGATGTACACAAACAGCCACGAAACAAGTGAAGCATAAGTACATTGAACTCTGCTCCTGCCTTTGTTTCGCTCTTATGCCCACGAACTGCTCCTAACAAAAGGTACATCGAATTAATTAAGACCGTCAATAGAGTGTGAAATGATCGTAATTACTAAGCGGGGAACAAAGAATACAACTCAATTAATGCGTATTTGATCGAAAATTTCGTTGATGAAGTATGAAAGATCGTTTTTCAAAGGCGCCCTTCTTTGTGTTGTTTACATGAAAAGCAAGTTAATGCATGATACGTATTACGCTGTTTCATAAATATTCAAAGATTCATTATTTCATTGTGAAAGCAAAATACGACAAGCTTTATCACCTCATAATTGCATACGTTTAGTCTTACAACGTAAACGTTAATTGTTATTCTTTTCTGTTCAAAGTTGAGTGATAATAAAACTAATAATCTTACACGAGTGATCCATAATGCACTTAAGATTCTCCATTAGAGGTTTTAGAGCCTGCCTTAAAAAAGACTCACAATTGAAAGAAAGGTATCAAAAAAAATCGAATTTTTCAATTAGTAGTCTTTAGACACTTTCACAAGCCTAAAATATTCTGATTCCTGTCATAATAAACGACACATATTTCTTTTTTGTTGTCACGAGGATAACTGGCGTTCATGAAGACAATATGCCTATTTATTCACGTCACATGTTTGCTTGACAGTGAAGTAATTTTGAAACGAGAATTCAACTGATATCTACGTTGGTCGCTCTTAAAGATTATTGGTTTAATAGGAGTGCAGCAAGAGCTAATAATGACGCATTGGAGAGTTCCCAACGGTAGAAAATGTATGTATCAGAAAAGAGCCAGATCATTTTCCGAAGGAAAGAGAAATAGGCCATTTCCGAGTTGTCTTTCGCCTCTGTGTGAAAACGAGTCTTCGTGCGAAACCATTCATACGAAAATGAGTTGATTTTCATGCAAATCAAACTCATTTTCATAAGATCACGGTTTTGCACGAAGACTCGTTTTGAAACAGAGGCACAAGGCTACTCGGAAATGGCCTATTTAGTTGTTTCGGAACACCAATAAGACCACTGTGACGTCACATGAATGACTTTTCCGCCACTGAAAACGACGTCACAAGCCCGCGTTTTCGGTCAGCAGTGACCAGGGCAGAAAAACGTCGCCCTACATCTAAGCGCCCTGACAAAATCGAAAACCTGAACCAGAAAATCATTGTTCCGGTTTGATTGCACGCAGGCATCCAAGTTCAATAACGGTTTCTGAGCTTGTGTAGAAAGAATAACCGCTCTGACTAATGCTGGCTCACCTTCCGTTCTCTTACAGGAGTCTCGATTCTTGTTGCTAACCAAAAGGATAGAGGCCTCTGCGAAATAGATTGAAAAAAACACTGGTTCATGTGAGTGCGCAATCGCGCATCTTAACTATTGAGTGAATCTCGTATTCGGAACTGACTTCCGTTCTTCAAAGTCGGCATGAATAACTGCAGATATCAACCAGGTCCCAGTGGCCAATTCCCTCTATGAAACGTGCCTGCAGGGAATCATGGTAGTTGTGGTCATCGAAGCAAATATTCAGTCCAAGATGATGAATACAGCTACCATGATTCCCTGCAGGCGCGTCTCATAGAGGAAACTGAGAGTTGTTCAAAGAATAGATAGAAAGATCAGATTGACAGCGTAGTTTTTTTGGTCACATATACTTTTCCACAGGATTGCGTTATCCGCTTTAATTGGAACAATCCGGTGCGGGGTGGAGAACCTAAGAGATCTAGGCCGACTATAACACTCTCCTGCAATACAATTAAAAAAATGCCTTTTACATGTTTCAACCACTTTTTGCCCCACTTAGTGAGACAATGAGCTGATGAAATCGTTTACACAATAGTAAAAACGGTGCGAAATACAATTTGCATTGATTCTTTTTAGAATTGAAAGTGATGTGTTACATATTAAGATTAAAAACAGTTGTTTGATTGTAGACATCCTAAATGGTACAGCAATAGGCCAACCAAGCAAAGTTGTGTCCAGGCTTCTCAGTGCAGACCGGGTACAAAGATCACTGGGATCTGGCTATGCTTGATGACGTAGTCGCTCACTCCGCCTAACAGCGTGCGCCGCAATGTTGACAACCCGCGGCCTCCCATCACAATGACACTTACTTTCTCTTGCTCGGCTATTCTGTGGATGGTCTCTCCAGGTTTTCCAAATTCTACCTTAATTTTTGCTTTCAGCTGTAAGGACATATATAATACAGGTCAAGGGTGAATCATGATCAAAGATAACAATTCCTAGTGCTCTATAACAATTTTCCGAAGGTTTCGTAACCTTTTGGCACATGGTATAATCACCTGCACGACTTTGTAACCTCGTAGCTCGTGGCGGGATCCAGATATTTCGCATATTGTTTTTCAGCAATAAACTCATGGTAAAACTGCACGGGCAAAAATACTGTATGCTATCACAATCTGCGGTAACGCGTAATAACGTTTCTCCAATCAGGCATCTTTCTTTAAAAAAATCGTTGTCTACAAATAGATTTAAAAAGCATTATTTTAGGGAACACCTCATGTATGGGAGAATTATTCTCTTATATGATCTTCTCTTGTAGCAGTACATGCAATGCCCAGGTGGTAAAGATAGCCAGCTATGTCACGAGTCTTCGTAACGGACGCTTTCGAGTTTTTTATGATCACTGAGTAAAGACAAGAAAAATATTTGCTTAGGATAAACGTTCTTTCTACCTTCTTTTCCTCGCATTTGCCCTTGTACTTCTCTATCACCCGATCCTTCTTCTCTTCATGTTCTTTTAATGTTTGTTTCCATTCCTCTGAATGTGCAGAATCTGCAGATTTATGAAACGAAAGAGCTCTCAGCAAGGATCAAGTGTTAATCTAAAACTGCCTACTTCGCGAGATTTTCTTTAATTCAGCTAGGAATATTCAGCCTGGGCCAGAAAAACAATATTCTTATAAGAAAAAAAAAAGAATGTTCCCAGAAGGGGACAATAATTTTTGTTTCGCCGGAACTTTGTTTTGGAGTTTTTCAAAAGCAGCCATGCAAGCCTTACAAACGAGACATGACCGATCAGTAGATGTTTTTCTCAGCAGAGAGGTTGCTTTGTCATGCACATGCGTCCACCTTGTGGTACTGAAAATTGTCCTAAAAATTTTGTGAGACAAGCAAAGATAAACTTAACGGTAGTAAAGCCCTGGCCAAACGGACTCGCAAGTAGCCGCAAGTTGAACTTGCGTAGAGACATGCGTTGAGTGGCCAAACGGACTTGGCCTTCGACTTGGCCTGGGTGGCCAAAACTTGCGTCGACTTGCGTGCAAATTTGATCTCCACTAAAGTGAGAGGAAGTCATCGCAAGTCAATGTAAGTGCACGCAAGGCCTGACAAAACGGAGTCACAAGTAGACCCAAGTTATCAACTTGCATCTACTTGCGAGTCCATTTGGCCGGGGCTTAAGATTCGTAGAACCTACGTACGCAACAGAGCAGGAGGATCCAGCTTCTCGTGACAGTACAGCACAATCAATGAGTTTTCAACGCGGTGCACGTGATTCAAATACCCTGCCAAAATGAAAACACTTTTTATCAAGAAAGGCCTAGTTGTGAAGATGAGGTATCTATGAAGCAAGTGAGTGTGTGGGACGAAATTCAGTGTGAATAGCACTGATCTGGCGACAACCTATTAATCAGTTAGTTCTGGAACCGTGGAACTTAGTTCTTAATTATTACAACTGCTGTAAATTGTTTCAACATTGCAAAGAGGATCTCCACGCAGACAGGAAAGTATAAAGTATAAAATGAGTAGCGGCGAATTGGCACCTGACAGAATGCTAGAGGGTATCCCTGCAATGGGCTCGCATCCCATCCAGGGGGGGGGAGTAGCAATACGCTTAGCCTCACTGAGTGCTATTCGTCAATTAAACTAATATTAAGAGATTGTATTCCTCATTTGGGCTGATTTGTAAATTATCGCCACATTGCATATATATGTTACCAAACGCACGCTGTTCCAAGGATGCTATCTTCTTGTACCGATTTTAGTTTAGTTTCGAGTTGAAAGCGTTTCGATTTGCTAGTGCTAGAGCTAATGCTGACGATTTGCTAGAAAAAAGGGCTGAAATTTTAAATCTTAACTGAGAAACCGCCGAAAATTTAACCGATAACTGAGGCTCTAGCAACCCCGGCCAGGACTTGAGCCCGCACCCCTCGATCCGGAGACCAGCCATTAGACCGCCGCGCGTTTAATAGACCAATTTCGATATATTAAAAGTCAGCCTAAAACAATAGACCTCAGTGCGAGGCTCTGGGGGATAACTACAGAGTTTGTGGGGTTTATTCCCCAGAGCCTCGTGCTGAGGTCTATTGTGTTAGGCTGAATTTTAATATATCGAAATTGGTCTATTGAGGGGCAGATACTGGAGGATTGGCGCCAAATGGACTGCGATTAAGGCATGTTGGACGAGGTGAAAGTCTCAGAGTCCTATGCTTACAAAATCTCGCTTCTTGCAACTTACATTTTTTGCAATATGAAAATTTAAGAAAGACTAAGAACAAGAGACTATGATGTTGTCTCTTGCTAACAACTATGAAATGTCCAAACTGAACAACGAGAGGCGAGGCAGGTTTTTGTCGTTTAGAATAACATAAAAAAGAGTGGACAATCGATAAAATTCTGAATGCCTGTGATGATTATGCGCTCCGCAAACATTCATTTTCGTGAATTATTTATCACTCATCAAGTCCGATTTCCAAATTCTGACCACAAGGTGCTTAATAATTGCTTTTGGGCGATACAAAAAGATAGATGAATTTCCATTTTTTTCTTGCTATATTTTTGTAGCCGTCTAAGTCGGACGTTTTCTCAAAATGCGATGGCAATGTCGAGAGAAATAAAGCCAACTTGAAGGACTGGGTGTTTTTTTTCCAAAATAAAAAGCTCGAGAAAAAACGAAAAAAAGTTGCTGTCACCAGCTTGCAAATGTTAGATAAAAAAATATATTGCAACACACCCTACATGATTCTTATCAAATGTTAACGATGAAGAAACAAGGAAAATCAATTTTCACGGAAGTTGTCAGCTTTTTCTCCTCAGTATATTGTTATACATAATTTTTTACACAATGGAACGAGTGATTGACATCCAAAATATGTCTTTTAAAACACCAGTTGACGTCCGCAACAGAATACTAAAAACAGCTGAAGCAAAAACCTAAATTGTATGATGAAAGAAGAAACGAAGAAATAATATAAGCGAAAAAGGCAATACAAAAATAACTATCTTAAGCGTACTCATGTATATTGTGTTTTGGCTTAGCGCGCACAAAACCGATTAAAACGTTCGTTCGAATGCGCGCGTCGCCGGATTAAAACTCGGGAAGGTAAATATAGTTTACTTCAACAACTAATTTTTCAGATACCCTACGACTTCCTGTGATCCTCGTTACACATTTTAAACATTTTAAATTATATACGTATTAAGTTACATCCGATGCGCTCACTGAAATAAACTGAAATAAATCTCCCTAAAGATAACTAAAAGAGAATTGTTTCGTATTCGCTTGTTGTACGTTTATGATAAATAACGGTAAACGAATTTCCTTCTATTTTCGCGAAAAGAAAAGAGTGTAAATACTGTCGTTTAATCGTTTTTCCATCGAAAATGGTTTTGCGATTGAATCGAAGAAACTGAATATTCTGTTCGCTGCATGCAAGGAAGAAGAATTCTTTCTTACTAGTCAGCGATAACTTTCTCGCGCGGGAAAATTCCGTTAGCAAAATTATCGCAAAAATTGTCGTTGCTTCGTATTTAAAGTTTCTTCCCGTTTAAACTTTTTTGCAAAGAGATAACTAGAATGAAATAACTTCGCCTTCGAGGCAGGAACCGGACTAAAGCTAGCAAGAAAACGAACAAAATCATTTTGACCGTCATAGGAACAAAATTGTCAAGGGGAAGAATATTTGCAATTGCTATTTTCAACAGCGTCAAGAGACACTGATTGCAAACAAAGATTCCCTACTTACAATCAAAAGCTTTTTCGCTGTGATCACAATCGTCAACTGCGATCAAGACAAGTCTTGTGTTGTCCGCCATTTCGTCGCTTTGAAGCCGCTAGTACGACAATATGCCTGCGTTTTCTTCCCTCTACGTGTTGCCAGGGAGCTAAATTGTCATTTCACCTCGAATAAATAGTGTAACGAATCGTCCAATTGTCGATACAGTGCGTATCCTCTTGTTACCCGTGGAAGCTGCTAGCGCGCTGTCAGTAACAAAGCCTTCGTTGCTGCAGGTGCAAAAACAAATTATTCTTATCACCTATTGCATATTCTCGAATTATTAGTGGTACGAGATGTGTATATGAGTTGCTACAGGCTAGACCATGGTTAAGTAAACTTTCTCGTTTGAGCCGTAGATACTCGCACTGGAGTCAGTTGTCGGTGTCTTTGATTGCGCAAACCAATGAGAATATCAGGGCATCGAGCGCGTGCTAACAATATAAGGGTGCAAGCCATTTTCTTTTTCACTTCAGTCCAGTTCCTGCTTAAGCAAACGATATGTGTGTAAAGTTTTTTATTGGCATCGAAAAACAAAGTGGATTTATATTAAGGTAAACTGAATTTTAAACGACAAAACATAACATTGGTCGCTATGTAGATAAAATAATTTTCACAGAGCTAATTATTGTACGCCTCTGTTGATCTCAATCTTCGTGTAGAGGTGAATATATAAACGAGTACTGTATGCTCCAATGAACGTTTACGACTTCAACAAGAAACTAGAATAAATTATGCCGTTTCAGAGTTCCAGCCTGACAAAATGGTATTTTTGCCGTCATTTATTGTGTGTACCCTCTAAATGAGTCAAATTACCTTTTATAACACTCAGTCACTGGTTTCTTTGGAAGATTTGACAGGTTCTGGCATTGATTGCTTTACCAATTTCTATTCACGTTCACGAAAAATAGAACTTTAAAATAAGATGGACTGACTACAGAACAAAATGTTTGAGTCTATTTACCAAATGGCAGTTGATTATTCATACTTTGATCAAACATACTGTTAGCTTTAGCAACCTTGTGCCTCGAATTCCGCAATCTATTCACTGGGCTTTGACCTGTTATAAAGGACTCAAGGAAGTGACGGGAACACTCGAAAAGCAGGGAGAAGCACGAGCCGCGCCCTACACTTATGTCGTAATATCGAGTGACTTCCTCATTGCGTGTTGTTTTGATTGAGACAGAACGAAGCCGATAAAGCCTCTTTTTATTTGTTAAATAGGACGTACGCCTAGGGGAGTACTTTTTCCATTTGGCTGTCCACGGTACGGCTGCTAGATAGCCTGGCATTTTTTCTCTCTTTTTTTCTCTCTCTTATCTTATTTCCATATTTTTCTTCTCCGCACACTTACTTTATTGAACTTAATTTCGTTTGGGGTTTCTACTGAAATTACACCTTTTTTATTGCTTTAATAGCTTACATTTGCAACTGGCTCGCAAAGACAGACGTCTGCTGTGTTCGGTAATCAGCCACACTAAATGTTAGAACAAATAAATATTAGTGCGTCGAAACATTGATTGATAATCAAATCCCTTTGAATTTAGAGTGGTTGATTAGAGCTTTTTACAGTGCCTACGGGAGCGGTAACTGACAATTTCCAAATACATCATGTAAATAGCACTTAAAATTAATAATTACAGTGAAGTACAGCTGCACAAAGTCCCCGCACGGAAATTTTCTTTTTGACATCGCATTCCGCGGGAGTGCGGTGCTCCAGGACTTGCGCACAGGAAACACGATGTTTCACACCTGTAGTTAAGACGCAAATATACTACGTCCTGCATAAAGCTATAAACTCAAAGCCTTCTTCACTACCTTATTGACAAGTTGAATCTGCCCCCTTTTGTTAAAGACCATTAAAATTTGCCCTCTTAAGTTACCTGGGCTTGAAGAAGCATAAGTCTGGCTATTATCTTTCTTGTATTTTATCAATTTTATATCGCAAATTTGATTCAGCAAATCGTATCATTTTTTATTTCATAAGTTAAATTTAAAATGTTCTCGCATCATGATTTGTTCACTCATGATCAATTAGAGGACAGACGCATCGATGGCGTCGCTAAAATGGTTTTTGTTTGCTTGTTTCTTTGCTTGTTTCTTTATTATAGAGAACAAGTAGATTCCATTTTGCGGTGTGTCTGTTCAGTAGTTGACCACAGACGTCAAATTAAATGTGGTAAGAACATCACTGACGCACTCGGCTATCGCCACGTGTGCCACTTTTTCGTTCTTACCTTATTTTAACGTCATCAGAGATCAATTATTGAACAGACACACGGCAGCATGGAATCTATTTGTTACAGACGGCTCGCACGCTATTCCCGAGGAAAGTGAGTTGGGATAATCTCCTCGTTCATAGCACGAGTGACTGCCACGCAAGATTTTCTTGGCCAAAACCCAAGTTGAAGCTGCGACTGATTAGGGTGCGTTCCTTTGGGGTGATTTGGATCAGAATCAGTGATCCAAGATCAGTCATATTATGCTACACCAAAGGAGCGGATGAATCCACTCTGGTCACGGATTCATCGGCTCCTGTGATGCACCATGATCCGAGTGATCTTGGATTACTGATCCTGATCCATATCATCCCAAACGAACGCACGTCACCCGGACAAAACGAGGGACTTATAGGAGAAAGACGAGTCCGGAGGAGGTTGCAGAATCTTCGCAACGACAGCATTCTCGCGATGTTGTTCGTTTCACTTCGGCTAGCTTCTTTGGAAACAACTAACTGCAATAGCGTGATTTGCTGCTCATTTTAAACTTTTTATTGTTAACAGACGTTAGCTAGTATTAATTCTGTTAGACAGTAAATTCTATGAAGACTTTCTGTGCTCGAAAATGGAGCTAAAAGTTTTCTTTCATACTAGACAAAACTACGGTAGAACGCCGTTAATCCGGTCACCAACTGGCCACAAAAGTCTGGCTGTATTAATGGGGTGGCCGTATTAAAAGGGCTCTCGGATGATTGACTGAGCTTTCGTTCGGGCCAGAATAAAGTGGCCGTATTAAAGGCGGGGTCCCACTGTACATCCACACATGTATCCACCTTCATTACAGCAAAATCTAAATTCATTTCTTAATTATATCCCAGGCATCGCTCTTGCTGGTCCCAAAATTAACACTGGTGTCTAATACAATTAAATTTACACGCAAATCTTGAAACCCCAATAAAAACCCCAAAATAATGGCTTGCTATGCCAGAGAAACCTAACCACTAACAACTAACCACTGCAAGAGGAATAAGCAATCCGATATCACAAAGAAGGATTTGAAATCATGGGAAAAACTGGGCAAGTCAATTGACTTTCGACAGAAAAAAGAAATTTCAGCTGGCAATTTTATAATAAATAACTCAGTAAAATAACTATGAAAAAAAAAATGTCAAAGTAACAAAAAACAACACTAACAAACACACAAGTTAGCACAACACGACGGGCACCGTTTTCTCAGGCATCTTTTAAATATCGGTGCAAATCAAGGTTGTATGTGGCAAACAATATTTCTCTGTCCACTATGCATAGCCCTGATGTGTTATTCAAAAACTGGAAATACTATGGTCCACCGACATGTGACTAAGGCCACCTGCTTTAACCCTTAATACAAAAGAACACCACTAAGTTCTGTTTGTTACCAGTTAAATTTTCGGCGGCGCCGAAAATTTAAATGATTTCTTAGCTTATCGTGAATATTTCAGCGCATTTCTCAGATCACAGACATCGGTTAAAAAACGTGTCACTTCTCAGCTAAAAGTTTTGACCAATTCTCGACTATTTAGACTATTCATACTCCCCACTTCAGACACTCTGTAGTAGTGATAACTACAGTCAGGGAACAAAGCTTTCTATAATAGCATGTATCACCGCGGTCAGAAACCTCAGAACTATATTGTCCAAATATTGACGGAGTCAGAGGTTTCACGCAAGCAATGACGACGGCAACAGCAAGGAAAACACCTCGTAAAAGATGAATTTGGATGTTAACCGGGTATTTTACCTAGGAATTTCTCATTTATCCAGATTTATTCAGTGTATCTAACGGTTTAAGAACAAGCTCCGGTTGAACATGTCACGAAAGCGTTTCATTCCAAATAGGCCTATGGATAATCAGGCGTCGGGGTTCACGTCCTCAAAATTACAAAGAATTTGGTCACGCGGTTTGCAAAGCTGATAACTGCTCATTCAACCTATTGTTTGGCGATGGCCTCACTGCCATTTACGTTGTAGTCAAACTCGTTCCCAGAGTCTTCTCTCTGCCTCGTTTAGAGAGAGGACCCTGGGAACGAAGTTGTTTAGTAGGTTGGTCCAGCCTCCAATAAGAAGGCATGACGTTACTTACTGACGTCACGCAGCTAGCTCGGAACTTTACGCTGATTGGATAATTAGAGCTGGAAATCCTTAAGATTCGTCGCAATAACTCCCCACCCCTCTCCCCCCTTTCCGGCCCAATACCCCAAGGGGATTATGGCTAAAAGTGAAGTAAAAAGTGAAAGATTCGCAAGGACGAAATGTTGTTTCCCAGGCTAACTGGCAATTGGAAAAAGTTAAAATCTAGTAACTGCTTCACAGCTCATGTGTCCGAATCATAATCCTGTTTATCCAATAATCGCGCATCTTTCAGCAGGTCAGTATTGTAAACAGTTAGATTATTTCCACGACAGCATCTTTGGCGGCAACACCTGATGCACAGACACATTAGAATAAGCCCCAGTAAAACAGTCACAGCAACAAAGGCCGCCAAGAAACCTGCAATACAAATGAACTATTGTGAAAAATTGTTCAACTAGAAGCAAATAACAGCCTGATTGTTTAACATAGTAAAATATAAGCCTGTCACAGGTCGAGCTGAGTCACTGCCAGTTCCTGATGTCACTTTTCATTAAGCCCTAAACACACACTGTATGTAAGTGTGACCGAAAACCCAGGTGAACTCAGATCTTTACGAGGTCGTGCGGAGAACTCAGGTGGTGAGCTACGACTGAGCGACTTTACATACCGCTTTTCCTTCCCGAAAGTAACGATCCCGCGAAAGTAACGAGCCCCAAAGGCTGCTTATTCCGAAAGTTACGAGGGTCGTTGCTGTCGGATGTTTACGAAATAACACGACTACACATACTTTTGTAGACTTCGGTCCTAACACACTTTTCTTCTTCCTCATTTCCCACACCACAAGCCTTGTCGATATCGTCAGGAATAACATCAGCTGTCTTTCTGATGAAGCAAAGCAAACCAAAATCTTTATTTCCAATGGCGATCAACGTAGCAACAACCCAATCGCGGTAGCACAAGTTATAGGAGTGCTAGAGAAGAGGGAAAGTTACAGAATGGCCAAGGTGATGGATTTAAATTCCCCAGGTCGCGGGTCTCTCTCTCTGACCACAAACTGAAGATGTTTCACGGTAGAACCCAGTTCATCTTCGTGGCCAGGCTTGTAACTAGCCAACTGGTCCGCCTCCTGCCAGTTAAGGTTGTTAACCTTGTTATGTTTAATTTAAATTATTTATCTCTAGTGTTTCAATGCAGGGTTTTGTTAGTTTTGTTACTAATTCTCTTGTCTAGGGTAAGCAAACGTTTCTTTTTTTAATCTATTTTATCTGAACCTATATTTCAAAAAAATGTCTAGTAGTCAGTTCAGAGCAGAAATATTTCAAGTTTGAGACTGCAACGGGTAACTTATACGCCATTTCCGTGTTCCTTTTACCTCTGTTTCAAAATGAGTCTTGGTGCACAACCTTTCATGTGGAGATGAGATTTTCTTGCACGTTCATGGTCTTGCAAATCAAACTCATTCGAATAATAAATACACGTAGCTTTTCACAAGCACGGAGCAAGACAATTGATTCAAACGACTACTGCATGAAACAGTAAGTGTAACAGCAGAAATTCCTTGAACATACTTTAACATTCTTTATTTCCTCACAGTTAAACGTTCCAAAGAAGCTCTACCAAAAATACTTACTTGATGAAGTCATCAAGAGGACAAAATTCTGAACAGGTCGCCAACTTGAGCTTTCTTGGCACTGAGCTTTGGCCATATCGATACATTATACGCACTGTCAGATTCTTCCTAACGTCGACATTGAAGAAAGGGAAAAATCATTATCAGTGGCAGTTCCGACAGTAATTGTGTTCAATTATCAGCCAACGTTGCACTCATTTTGAGACAAAAGGCGACTTGGAAACCGCCTGTTCTACTTACTTGTTATCATTTTCATCTGAGAAAAGTTCAATCATCACTGCACTGGAGTAAGCCGGCGCGATTCCGTCATATACATCTAAGGCACTCAGCAATGCAGAAACTGTAGTGTCGTGCTGTAAGAGTCAAGAAACAAACTGATCACAACCAAATACCGCTCAGAAACGCTGCTCCCCGCTAAAATGACAAAGCCGCCAATCACAACTCAAAGCAACTAAAGCGGTGAAAAGCGCGCGAAATGTCGCAAGAGCAAAATGACCAATTCCCTTTATGTGACGCGCCTGCAGGGAATCATGGTAGTTGTATTCATCAAAACAAATATCCAGTCCAAGATGATGAATACAACTACCATGATTCCCTTCAGGCGCATTTCATGGTGGTCTTTTCGCGAGTAGTATGTTCTGCCCCATGTTCTGATGGGTTCATTTTGGTGATGTAAGTGTTTGCTTTGATTTTGCCATACTGTGAGTAGCTTGTATAACAGCCGGGATCTACTTCTTTGCATTCTCCGCACAGCTTTGCCCTTGCATTCGCAGCTCGATAGCTACCGTGGGCTCAGCTCTTTACAGTCAGAAAAATGCCTCCGGACCACTATCTGGTAACTGTGATAACCTTGATGCAGCTGTTTAAGTTTGTTGTGCTTAGTCAAATATAATGACTTGGTGTGGGATAGAGCGGTTTTCAATCGAGTGTCGTAAAACCAAAACGTTTAAGTTTTGCTTTTAAAAGTTATCACCATCGCCAATCACAATGAATCAATCAAAACTCAAAATACATGTAGCTGAGGGGAAGCGCGGCGAAACGTGAGCGAGCGAGTCACGATTGGTTCTAATTTTACTTTTGATTGGATGACAAAGTGGCTCGAGTTCTTTTTTTTGTTGTTGTTGTTTTTTTTTTTGCTTTTGAAGCTAATCGCTCAAAGTGAGGTAAAACCAAGGCAACTGCGAATTACTTTTGACGCACAAGTGAGAACTGCTGCATTACGAAAGCCATGTAAAAAGCACTATCATAAGGTGCTTGACCAATGTCTTAAGTGCTTCATTTATCTATATAAGGACTAAGCATTAATGTAATGAGGGAAATTGAAACCCAAACATTAGGCCACTTTGGGCAAGAAGTCAGAGTGAACTGAGGACAATCATAGAAAACAAGGCAAAGATAAAACAAAAGAAATTTGTTACTTACCGCTGAATAAATATATAATTTCTTACTCGTTGGTTTGAGGTAGTCTTTCATATTGTTAACAATCGCCCCCACCAAATTACCTACAAAACAACAAACCCAAAAAGGTCAATGATTATCAACTACTTTCTTTAGTTCATGTCTCTGCTGCTATGGCGATCTAGAAGCACTACCAATGAATGAAAAGTACACTATAACAATTTACAAAACAAGCAGCAGGACGTCAGCGTAATACTTGACACGTTGTCGGGAAAACAACAGACAGAGGTTTGGGTAAGTAGTACTATTACCACTGTACCACTGTTCCCTCAGAATTTTAAAAAAAGCTTGGCAATATTTTTGGTTTTTTCAGAAATTCAAAACACTTCGAAAACTGAGATTTTGAGTCTTTACGTTCTCAGGGCGTTGAAAACGTGTAGTTGGTCACACACAATCCAAGAAATGATACAACAATTTAGTTTTTTTAAGCCATTAAAGACTGGGGGCTTTTTTGTGGTTATTAGACACCCATTTATCCACCTGTTCTGGTTGAAAGCTCCCTACAACAACGCCCAGTGAATTCTAACCAGAGGTGGCCATTGCTAATTCAACTGCACGTAGTAGCAAAATAATACCCACAACTTTAGTACATGAAATTGTAATGATGAGTAAACAATACAACTAAACAAACCTCCAGTTAACTTAGCTCTCTCTGGAGATTTGAACAGCCACATCATGTTAAAGTAGCTCAAGTTCCTCAAGCCTGCCCAAGTTGTTCCATTTGTGGACCAAGCTGGTAGCGTCAGATTGTGAGATTTCTGCCGCAGATATAAGATATACATTAAGAGAAAACACAGCTCAGAGCAGGCACAAGTAGATTCAGCACGTGGCAATCACTACAAACGACTGTCAAGCCACGCGAGATGGTCAAACATGAGTATTTACTATTTTTTCAGGCTCTTTATTGAAGAAGACGGTTAAGTCCAAGTCTCTGAATTGCGTTCTACTACATGAAGATGAGAGTTGCATGTAATGTAAAAATCTTACTTTTTACCTGTTATCTATTGGAAGACAGCCGTATAGATGACGTCATTAACATTACGTTTTGCTTCTTTATAATAAAAAAACAAGTGGATGGACGCGCGTCTGTTCAGTGACAGATCACAGAAGATGTCAAAATGCCGTAAAGACCCTCTGTGACACACTCGAATAACGGCTTGCGTGCCAATTTTTTGTTCTTTAATACCACATTTTTGACGTCACTGTGATCTATTACTGAACAGAAGCACAGCAACATGGAAATCTCTTTGTTAAACAGTATATTTGTTTGATGCAAACATATTCTAAATGACTAATGCATGTGGCATAGTTTTACGTTACAAAACAGACAAAAAACTCATAAAATACATATACATGTACCTCACAAAAAAGTGTGTCATAGATTCGGTGGGCTGTATCTACTGTTACTTTCATTTTAGCATGTGTTGAAACATATGACAGCAGTTCCTGTAAAAAAGGAAAGAGCATCAAACAGTATTGTTAGTCTTCAGAACTGGGTTAATCAAGGCATACAAATGTAACTGTACATATATACAGCTAAGGGTGTAATTTACGTGCTCATAAACTGACCAATTCTGCCTATATTGCCTATTCCACTCAAACGTTTGCCCTGTATATACTACAGTACAAGTATATTCTCCTCGGTTAAAAATAAAAATTCAGAAAATTTCAGAGACAGCAATTTGATCTATTTTGACTCTTTACAGTGCCATGTCACAATGCTGCTGCCGTTTTACTATCATTCAGGTGAAACTCAGCATAGAATATCATAGTTTATCTCATAAAAAATGTCAAGCTTTCTCGATATTTAAATTATTTGCAATGAATATTTACCTAAACTTTATGCTTAAATTCTGCTTGAAAATTCCTTATCATTCTGTTGACATAATGCTAAGAGTCTAAAATGGCGTATTCTGCATGAGATTTTGCATGCAGAATTTTTACAAGCCTCAAGCAAGTTGTAGTCAATCGACTGACTGACTGACTGACGGACGGACAGACGGGCAGATGGACAGATGGATGGACAGACCGACAGATGGACGACTGACTGACTGACTGTTGTTTGACTGATGTTTGACCTTTGCAATCTAAGTGACTGAAAACTAACTGTAACAGACACTTGTGCAATGACGTCAAATTTGAATGAGAGCCTAATTCTTTTTTTCTTTTTTTGGGGGGAGGGTGTGGAGGGGGTCAGGGGGGTCACTAAGAGTTTCAGGTCTTTGAGTGCTGAGAGTTGACCAAATATCTAGTCACACAACTCTCACTATTGTTTGGACCAGGCTTACCTCGTTCTGTTTGGCCATATCCAGATACTCTTTGTCTTCTTTAGACTTTGCCAAAAGTTCCAAAAGTCGAGGGCATTTGTAGTCAAATGGTCTTAGAAGCTGTAATAAGTTAGGAGATGTTTGGTTCAAGCAAACATGATCAAGCATTGTTTGGTGACCAAACATGTTGATGTGCCCAAACAGTATCAAAGATGTTTGAGTAAACAAAATGATAATTTTTACAATAATTGATCAACTGTAATGTTTGTCGATCTTCAAACATGATCAAACGTGTCCAAAAAGTGTACAAACAGTTCTTTTTAATAAGTGCTTCCATTCTAATTTAAGTGCCATGTTTGCCCCCTCTCCTAATAAGCACCCCCAATAGTGATAGTGACATCCAAGACTTTGAAACAGAATAGGATGATTACAAATTATTAAAAATGAATTATTAAGTCTGCATTCTCATCTGAAAATAATATAAAGCATTTCCATTCACATGGCCACCAGCCACGCAAATTTACCGGAACAAAAGGCAGTGTCTACAGTCATATGAAAAGAGTTCAACCTCCCACAGGATTGGTTTGGTACACCAACATGGCCACCATTTCATTGTTTTGGGACACCAACATGGCTGCCTTGATGTTATGTGAAAATGCTCTATTGAACATTTTGACTGTTAGAGCCACTTTAATTATAACAGTAAGTTTTAGAGCTAAAGTATCTTTTGTTTTTCATTAAGTACATGTATTGTTCCAGATTCAAATGCGTAACTTCAAACAAATTAAGGTTCCCATCCCATACAAGCACACCCTTTCCAATATAAGCTCCCTCCCTTGAGCTACCAAAAGTAAATTAGTGCCCTGGGTGCTAATTAAAATCAAATTATTACGTATACACCAAGTTCATCCAAAGTAGTTCAGGATTTGTTTGCATTAAAATTTGCACTGTGTTATGAAAACATATTTTATGACTGAAACAAGTAACTCACATAATCTTCCGTCCTTGGTACTACATGAACTCCAATTGGCTGCCAGTCTAAATTATCCCGCCATATCTAAAGATAGGAACATGAATGTAATAATTGAACAGAGGAACTCGGGGAGTTACTGGGTGAGTGGTTTTAACTTAAGCAAGGGCAACTCAACAAAAATCAAGTTTAAAAAGTGTGTGAGAACCTTCTTTTAGTCAAAATCTCAGTGACAGATTCCATCTATTTTACAGAAACAGTACTGAGGAGAGATGTTTACCTAACTAAAGATAAAACCCTCTTCAGTGCATGTTATTGACAAGCATGAGGTGTAGGACTGGTGTGCAACTGCAAAAAAAATTGTTATTTGCCAGTTTTGATTAACTATGTGTATCACAAAATAAACGTCACAAATCCCGAAGAATTTTTGCTGCAAAATACTCAAATGAAGTAAAAGTATTAAAAATGCATACTACAAAAGACTGCTGTGACTTGCACTATACAAGAATGCGGGGATGTTTCCTCTTACTCCCACCTTGTTATTAATAGCAATTTTTAAAAGTTGAAAAACTAAAGGGGAATAGTATCATTTATTTGACAATGATTTACTAACCTCGAGATTTTCTAGATTCAGGCAATATTGAGTTTACCTGTTTTCCATGTGGTGGATAGAGACCATTAAGCTGTGTCTGTGCACTCATTATACAACGATCCTTGTCACTACTCCGCACATAGATCTGTAAGACAATATTCAAGTTGTCGGCTAATTATAGACGTTATAAGCAAGGTATTGTGTAGCAGGCAGAAAACAAAGAAAATAACAGTACAAGGTACAGAAGGGGATGCACAAGGGGAAAATAGAAATCACCTAGCTGGAAGACCAAACAAATTCATTTTCTAGCCTCAGTTAAATCATGCGATGTGACACCACCACTAATTTTGTTTTGGCAGCAGGAAGCTACAAATTGCATGACAACTATGGCTGCATTCCCTGATAATGTGAAAATTTTAAAATAATCAGGGCTTGAAAACAGTGCTATCCAGTCGACCAGAACAAGTAGATTTTCCTGCTGAGCAATAACTTTTCATGACTGTCACTTACTCGATGGGCAAGGGCCCAAGCAAGTTGTCTGCAAACTTAATTTAAAAACTCAACTAAGATTTCCCCAGGATTAGCAAAATTTGAGAGCTGCTTGTCCAAAAGGGCAAGCTAGAATTCAAGAATTTTTTGAGCCCTGAATAATGATTTAAACATATTTGAAATAAAATTGTAAAATCACAATAGGCTTGCTTCTTTTTTGTTCCTACTGAATGGTAACCCTACACTGTAGTGGGTAGACAGATCCATTCACAAATTTATAGCTGATTAAATAAAAAAGCAATGGGAGTTATATGTTGTAGTCCACCATCCCTGGGATATGGTTGTGCCAGGTTTTAGCCCGTGGGAGTCCAGATATCCCATAGACACCCATGTTTTAGAGAACATAATTATTATTACTCCTCGTGTGCCTCAAGAGGCTCCATAACTGCTAGCCAAAAGGATTTTGGGACAATTCCCTTTTTTCTCACTTTTTGAAGTGGGAACTTTTTTAACCAACAAGTTACACTCAGAGAAACAGCCTTTACAACTGCAGTTACAAAGATTTTTCCTCTGCTTCCCCTGAACAAATTGCTGTCAAAGTCCTTTGACTGTAGAATATTTGTGACACCCTACATTGCCCAGGGAGGGTGGGGGGTAAATTGGAATGCTGTTTTTTAGTAATATAGGAAAATGAGAAAGTGTCCCAATACATTTTGGCCTGGATTGTACACAAGATATAATTGAATAACTAAATGTTTATAAAAGTTTTTCTACCTCGTTCAACAGATATGATGAATTCAGAAGCTTATACTCTGTAACATAACGATCCTTCAGAAACTTGCCAAGTTCATATTCTTGTTTCATGCCAATCTATAAAATTGGAAATAAAAGTCACAGGTAGCATGGGTTAGATCTTTTTCTTTGATCTCATCATGTTATACACAGTGGAACCCCGCCTTAAGACCACCCCGTTAATACGGCCACCTCATCATTACAGTCACTTTATTCTGGCCGAAAAAAAAAAAAAGCTCAGTCAGTCATTTTCTTATTTAAAGAACCCCTTTAATACGACCACCCCGTTAATACGACCAGATTTTCATGGCCCGTTGGTGACCAGATAAACGGGGTTCCACTGTATCATTACATAACTTCTTTGTATGCCTTATTAAGCCTTCAGTTAATAAATAAAAATTACTGTACGTTGCCCACTTGTTTTGATTCTAATTGCATAACTAAAGACTTTGAAATAGAACAAAAGTATCGCAAACCTTTTCTCATTGTAATAAAGCAAACTTTAATTTTAAATAATGATAATAATCCTCTTGTCCTGAAGGGCCAGCTGGAATTTATTATAATTAAGGGTTTTTTCCAAGCCCTGTAGACATAAGCAATGAAAATGACGCATTGTAAACCACCTGCACACCTCTCACAAGGCTTAACAGGAATTACATGTAGGCTGAGAAAACAACAGGAAACAATGCAGATGAAACAGCAAACCTAGTCCTTAATACATGTACAATAGAGGTGGGTGAAACAGGGAAAGAATGAAATTACATGTTCTCAAGAGGTGTCTGCAAGCAACAGTCATAGACAAATATTATGTGGATTCAAAAAACAGTCAGCTAGCCTGAGATAGTTGTCCTGGTCCTTGAGGCCAGTAATCCTGATGCTCATCTGCTGGGAAAAAACCAACTGGAGACCGGTCACCATGACGATATACCTGAAAAGCAGATATTTAATTCCACTTAGATATTAACATGTTCTTGCATGTCAAGTTGATTAGATATAGCCTTCCAACTTGACTTTCCAAAGTGTGTTACTGTACATTCTTACTGTACCACCAACAACTTTGTAAACTTCCATATACTATGTATATACAGTTTTAGTTCAAAAGAACACCCACTGTCATCCAGGAATTACTGGCTGAATATGTGCACAATGGTTTGCGAATTACACTCCATGACTAATAATATGTTAAATAATTTGAAAGGGCCTGTACTTCTTTCACTGAAAAATCACACATTCAAAGTGTTTATGTCAAGAGTGGTCAGCATGCTGAGGACTGGTAGACAGTGATTTTGTCAGTTGCCAATGCTTATGGAGAACAAAGGGATAGTGTTATCTGCACTATCAATAGTGGCTTGATGGCTCACTGGTATATCAGTCACCTGATCAATGCAGTAAAAGGACATGTGCATGATTAGCTGAAGCACATGTAGGTATTCGTAGCGTAAGTTACATGTAAGTGAAAGTCAATGAAACTCTCGGATAATATCAATTAAAAGTTTGTTTTTTTTTAAATATGGTCATAAATTTTCTCCTCCAAACATCTGACTGCCATTTAAAGTTATTCCATTGAATGGCCATGTGGAGGGTCCCCTATACTCTTTACGTGAAGCGTGATTGGGTAATTTATTTTCTTGTAAATCGTGATTTGAAATTTATTCGTGATTCATGATTAAAGATGGTAAGATCTTTTCATGTCCACATAAACAAATATTTTATTCAAACGTGACCCGTGAATGAAGAGTTGAATTAAACAGGATTTGCGAACCATTTTGTTTTGCATGATGAATTTCCAGCTATCTTACAGTTTGAAAATGCACAAATTGTTTAGGGTTTTGACATGACATGGACTTCTTATGGATTAATAAAACTCCTAAAATAGACCACTAATGGTTTCTGAACAAATAAGATAAGACATTACGTCATCTTTTGCCGCATATGCCCAGGACAACCCTAGAAATAAAATTTCAGCGTCAAAATGATGTTTTATTGGCCAGTAACCTCTAGGTGGATATGGGGCTTCGGAGACTTTGGTATCTCTATTAAAGCAAATCTGGAGCTTATCCCGGTTAGTAATGCCCTAGCATGAAGCATCCATCACAGGGTCAACCCCCAGCATTGTTCATTGTTACCATTTATTCACCTGGGTGAAGAGAAGCACCGTGAGAGTAAAGTGTCTTGCCTAAGAACACAATGCAGTGCCCTGGCCAAGACTTTAACCTGCACTGATCAATCCAGTGTCTAGACAGTACACTAACCATCAGGCCACTGCAGCGCCTCCAAATTATCTCTATAAATCATAGATATTCCTTGCAAGTGTACCAGGTGTACTCTGTCTAAAGTACTTCTATTTGAAATTCTACTGAGGAATGTGGAAAAGCACTTAAAGGAACACATACACCAACACGACCTCATCTTCTGGAAAAGACTAGCAGTAAAGACTGTGACTTTCCAGGAGCGAAGCCACGTGTACATGTAGATTAGGACCGTTTAACCCCAGGAGCTTGAAACACTCAAACACACATTGTAATGTAATTCCAAAGAAACCAGGTCAAAGTAAAATCAATCGTTATAGCATTTATTGGAAAGGAGCGATAAATCAACAATATAGGAGTCAGGATAACAAAATAGAGATGTACTTGTGATGTGAAGTCGAAGTTATGGTTGTGGTTGTGATTGTGTGGTTCAAACTAAAAGCAACACGATACAAAAGGGTTATGTAAGCTAATACTAGCTAAGATACAAAACATAAATCAAGGATACTGATGGAACATAGATCTTAAACCATAACGACACAATTATGACTAAAGATATGTAGACTTACTTTAATCTTGCTCTTGCAAGGGTGGCAATTGGAGAAACGATAGCTTAGAATGATAGCGATGACAGCACTAGCATAAAATAGCGAGAACGTAGATGGCGCAACTAAACTGATAAAAATGTGGTGTCTCTATAGTAATTACATGATTCCAAAGGTTACATTATGAAACTTGCATTCATCACAGCAATCACAGCATGAATAGCAAAAACTTTAAAAATGTACAAAATTGTTAATGAGTAATAGTTATGTAAACAAAACAAAGAAGAAAACGAGTTACGAAAGTAACAAAGACCAGTAACAGGTTGCATTAGTTAGGAGTCAAAATTGAAATGTGACTCCCTTGGAAGTTGTACAACTAAGAGTTCAACTCATATTTAACTTTGGCAGTGTGGAATCAAGACAACCATCTGTCTTTGCAAGATGAGGAGAGGTCACAGACCTGTTTTGCGATTTAGACAAAGAGCCGAACTTGGGGGACAAAAAGCTTTATAACCAGGTTAGAAGAAGTGGAAATATTAATTCGTAAACTTGTTTTTTTACTTTTATGTGAAACTTGATCACCTCGAATTTCGTGTGAACATGAAAGAATTTTGGATATTATTTGTGATATGTGAAAAGGGTGAATATTTTCACATGGCGGAGTTTTACAAAGGGGTATAGGGGACCCTCCTTGAGCATCCTTGCTGTGCATAATTTTTCACGTCATAATGGCATGCATACACAATTATATTTGAATGCTGTGACAAACACATCTTAATGAAACGCTGGGTATATGCGCATACAGCAAATCATTACATTTGTTTCATAATTTTAAGAAAAACAGCTTATAATCTGAAATCAAAGCCTGCTTTGTTTAACAGCTCCAATATTTTAATGCAAGAAATGACCTTTCTCAGGAAATTATTTAAGGATTCCTGAGGAAAGCCTTGTGGATTGAATAGTTGCGATAACATCAAGCCATTGTGCAAAATAGAGTATGATACCCTTTGTTTAATTTCGCGTTTCGACAGCATTTATAACATAATTACCAATTTTTTTCGATGGAATCACTTTACGCTCTATTAAGCTAGCTTACATGCCCCAACAAATATTTCTCATAAGCGATTTCGTTACCGTGATATAAGATGTACGAAGAACTCTCTTCAATATAGTTTTCAATGATCGTTAAGTAACGTATAAACGGGAAAGTCAAGGAAATTTCCACGTGTACATAAGCTTAACATAGTAATGAGGTCATAGAAATTAAGCTTACATAAGCTTAATAATGGCTATTCGAATGACACCCGTACGATATTATTTATACGACTTAGTTCGCTATTCTTACAGAAGTAGAAGTGTCGTTAAATGTATACGTGACTACTTATTCTTGCTGATCCAAAATGTCATATGCATGTTAAGACGAATGAAGCTTTTCTAGTGAGTCATTCGGACATAATTCCTAGTCGAACGAATAGTAGTCATTGTGTATAGCACTTGCTTACATGTAAGACCCCTTCTCGTTTCCTTCAGAAAATGAAAAACTAATCAAGCTGGAACTAAAACCATACTCACCACATTCACCATTCGTAGTTTCTGAACTCCATATGACAATGTTGAAGCCTGTAGAAGCCATAAAAGAAAACTAAAACAACAACTGAAGTGACGTCTGCTTCCGTCCACCATTTTCAGTTTCGCACTGGACCTGTTACCAGTTTCCCTGACCGCGCGCTTCGACCCGGAAGCTTGCAGCAAAGTCTCTAAATAAACAAACTTCAAACTGAAAACTATTCAAAATAAAACATGCAGATTTCTCTCTGTATTTTTTCATTGTTATACTGTTTAGAGCGTTAAATTTTCTGCCTGCTGACAATTTTTTTTTTTTACAACAGCAGAAAAATTCGAGACTGAAAACAATTGCAAACATTACTGTCACTCATTTTGAACTGAGTGCTCAATTGCCAGCATCAGCACCTATAACAGGTCTATTCTCAAAGTTAGTTGAGTTTTTAATCTGGCTCCATGGCACAGGTGACAGAAGAATTAGAAAAAAATTCTTTTGTTTTAATCCCCCAGACTTATACCACTTGTGTAAGATTCAGGTTAAAGGTGAGTTGCAGCCTCAAACTGAAGAAAACAAAAAAAGTGACTGAAATCAAATTTGCAGCATTCTTTGCAACCATCGCTAAACAACCAACCTTCTCCTCCGCTGGTCTCTCTTGCCCTCTTCTTATAAAACACATCTCAGGTGGAGATGAAGATACTCCTTAAGAAACACCCCAATATACCTAGAGTAATAAATGTCACTCCTTCTAATTTGTAACTTTCTTTTATTACAGTGTATTTATGAGGCCTCGATTTTAATTCAATGCCTGATTTAGATATTTCATAGCGGAACATATACCTTTTTCTATTTTATTTTTGTTGTTGTTGTTCAGTGGTTTAGTGTTGTGTTTCTTATGTTGTTGGTTTTTTTCCGGGATGGGTGGATTGGTTCTTTTTGTTTTGTTTTGTTATGTTTTTTTTCTAATTATCCTAACAATGTTGTTCCAGGATCCACTCTCAGTAAAAGTTTCACCAAATCTCAGCCTCTCTTAGGATTTCATGAATAATTGCCATCAGCAAGTTGAACCCAGAATGGCATCTCTGACTTCCATGAGTAGTTTTCCCATGGTATTCTCTCCAACAATTTCACCTGTTTTCTTGTCCTTTTTTCCAGTCCAAAAATCCGTTTGACCTCGAGTTGGAATGTGGATTAGCTGTGTGCCCACAGTTTCTAAAAGGAGGCTTCTATAAGGCTCTTGTTCGAATTTTCTTTGCAAAGCTCTTTTCATCCTATGCTTTGCCACCCCTTGGTCTAAACCGTCAGCAGCTAAAGTCAACTTGTACTTTGCAGAACCAGATTTTGAACCGGCAGACTTGGCAAGTTTTCCTTTCGCGATTTCTTCTTTAGCATTTCTGGCTGAAGTTTCGTTCTTCTTCTTGTCAAATTCTCCACCTTTCATGAACCGTGCCCTGTCTTCTGGAATGAACTTCATGCCTTGGAAATAATGTTCCACTGACGGAAACACACCTTCCGGCATCTCGATATCAACCTCGTAAAAATTTGAAAATTGGCAATAGGGCAATCTAGAACGAGAGAAAAAGAATATCGGTTCCAGATTTTCTTCAGCGCTTTTTGCACTTTGTTTTGAAGGGCTTGAAGATGACATGACTGCCAGACGTTTTCCAAAACACCGTTATTACCACCGTTTAGGCCAAGTGAATGGAAAAGAACACATAAATGTAAATTGTATGGCTGAAATTACATCAAATGGTGCAATTTCCGGACGTCGACTTCTCATCCGCCATGTTGGAATGACTGGACTACACGAAGGCCTGGGACCCACGGTAGGGGCACAGGACACCCATCCATGTGCCTGCAGAGTCTTCTTGCCCGGAAATTACACCGAACACAAAGCCCGAATAGTGCAAACGCGCTCAAATTATAGTAACAGAAACGTTCGCAATTCTCACGTCTAATGAAACCGTCAAATTCCAAAAATAGTTAATTTGAAACCTCGCATACCGTATGACGTCCATCAAGCGCCTAATGGATCTAGTAAAATCGAAAACTTATAAACGAAAAAGTTATTTCTTCCTCGTGGGAAAACTTCAAGAAAAATTTAACGCTGCTCCAATTGTCAGCACAAAAACACAATTCTCGACCTTCTTTCGCTTTAATTCTTTTGTCATTGCTTTGCTGATTGGGAATTATAATGTAGTTCTTCCAAGTGAAACAGAATACCTGGATACCTCATATCATTTGACTTTAAGTCCGTTTTAATTTGCCAAAGGCAAATGTCAGAGAAAGTAATATACAAAGCTCAACACCTTTTTTTATTATTATTTGGCAATAAACCCACAGAATTGCTTAATCTACTGATTTTGGTGAGACGCCGATAAATTAGTTGTCGTTGAAGATTGCTACCAGAAGATAACAGATATTGTCTGAACTCTGGTTATAAAAACAAGTTTTGCAGAGATGTTTCACTCACTGAACAAGCAAGAAGCTTAGGAGTCCCAGCAAGATCAATTTCAAGATCTAGAACTAAATATATTCAAAATCACATAGAGAACCTGTTAAACATGTCCATAAATTTTCAAAATAATTTGGATATTCGTGAACGCCACGTTAAGAGCTCGAGGCATTGGGTGTTGTCAGGGAACAACGCTTTTCCTGAAAAAATGACAATCAGTTTTTGAGATGGTTTTTTTTGTTTTGCCGCGTTTCTGTCACACAGTTGAAGTAGATGGAAAGCTGTGAGCAGTTGCTTTAACGAAATGAGAGAGAAAAACATTTAATACTGCGTCCTTAACAAGCGTCTCTGTTTGATAAACAAAGGACAAAATAACTAATGAGGGCATAAAGGTATATGTTAATTGTTCCTGACTTGGACATAATATAATAGACAAAGGCTGAATAACATTTCCGAAACATAATTCTTTAGAAAAACGGTACGATTGTTGTTTGCGAACTTCTTAAATTCTACATACCGAAGCAAAACCACAAGTTTACTAAAAGCTTTCTCGGAGAAAACATAAACATGGATCGACATTGTTTGCGCCTCTGTTACCTTATCGCGTTTCTGTTTTGGTCCCAACACCCAACTTCAATAACCTGCGAGACCCAGCGAAAACTTGTGATGGTAAATGTGGTGAGTCAAAGTAATAACTTGTGCTTTTAAATACTACACGCTATAAGGAGACTCGACTTTTGAGCGGAAGAAATTGTTACCTTTTTGTTGTCACTTTCCAGCAATGAGATTATAAACCGTTTCATGAGATTGAAATTGTTACAGAATATTGACAAGGTCTAGAACAAACCACGTTGATGTATAATCCGCTTTGTTCTTTCTAAAAATCCTGAACTGCCATACGTTTTTCCAGCTTTGTAAAGTTGTTTGAACAGAACTTTCAATACATTCCAACTGAAATACGCAAAGGTAAAGCCAAAGTGTTTTTTTTTTTTCAGAAACGCATCAAAATTAATTGTGGTAATAGTTTTTTTTTTTTTTTTTTTTCACTGAGAACGGTCAATCGTCAAGCCTAGGTAATAATGAATGAATTTCTAAGTTGTTGCTAGTCACTGTTATCTGATCCGAGCCTGTGAGCATGATATCAACACATATATATTTTTTATTCTTTGGAATTCCCTAACGAGAACATCATATTCTTTTCTGATGTCACGAAAGTGAACAAAGGGACTGATGATGTTTAAATGGCTTTGAATCCCATTTAAATATTAGCCTCTATAAATTGGACTCATCATTTTCGACCCTTTATAGGAACAACGTCTTCTCGAAAAGTACAGACAAACCATTCTGTTCTCAGCGTATTCCTGATTTTAGTTGCTGCTAGTTGCGTTCTATCGTGCGTCACACCCTCAACTGCCGATCGCTCAAGGGAATTTTCAATCCTTTTAGTCAGGTGGTCTACTGTAGTAACTTTACTTCCACGCTCACTGAAGCATCAAGGTTTATATTATCCACTCTCCTCCCGCTCATTCTCTTTTGTCGGCTTGCATTGTCCATCTTTTCATTTTTTTCCTACGCCATACTTTACTCCAAAAATTTTCCTGCCAATTTCCCTCACATAAACTCATTTTTGGTCTAAATCGTCTAATTTCGGTATGAGGTTGAGTCCAGCTGAAGCGTCCTTTTTTCTTTCTGAAAAGGTGTTGAATTACAGCGCATTTGTTTGGAGCATGAAAACTAAGAAATATTTTTTTCAATTTTCTTTTTATCAAATTGCAGCAATTGATTTTCAACTCTTTGTAAATGTTTTCATGTTCAGGATGTTGTAGATTTTATGTCAAAACGTGTCTCTTTAATAATGCATCTATGGATGTGCTAACATATTCACACAACGTGGAGAAGTAAAGATAGGCTTTCTCTCTCGGCAGGTTTATCGCCATGGTGACCGCTCTCCTACTCATATTTATCCAAATGATCCGTACCAAGAAGACGTGTGGCCGCAGGGAATTGGAATGCTAACACAAGTCAGTACTGACCAAAAAAATTTTTCTCAGATAATGACAAAATCCCTCTCTCCTCCGCAGAAGTTTGAAACGTTCGTTATAGAATGTTGCTGTGCGAGGTGAGCGCAGGCGCAACGTAACTCTAGGCCTGCACTCATATCGTGTTCAGCAGATTTTCTCCACCCAAAAAACCCTTCGAGTCTCTGCGTAGGAGAGATCAGGACAGAGACAACTACAAAATAAGGCGTAACTAGAAAATCAAGCGGCAAATGTTTTTTTGCACAATTTCAGTGAATTCAAGGCATCAGATTTTCATAAAGAAAGTCGTCGTTTTTGTTGACATCTTTAAATTATCTAGACAGGCTTCATAATGACTGGAGTATGTTTATATTTTCACAAAGAAACGCTCTAAGCCGGCATCCGGTGGGAGGGAGGTCCCATATAAAAAGGACGAGGGTGCTCGTCGGAGAACCCCTGACTGGTACCAAGATCCTGTTTTGTGGGCGTGGCTTGAAATTTCTTTTCACCCCTAATAAGAGGCACCACATTATCTCCTGTCATATTTTTTTTCGGCTCAATGCACTAAAAGGTGGCCCGAAAGCTCCTGCTGAGGAACTTTCGAGGCTAAACATCCTAAGAGGCACCAAAAACTGCTGTTCTAACCCCTGAAAGGTACGACAAGCAGCGCCGTCCTTTTTATATGAAAGGCCTTCCCCCCGCCCCCCCCCCCCCCCCCCCCCCCGCACCTGCCAGGCATTTGACATTTTTAACTGTCTCCTGGGCCAAGAATGGTGTCATACCACGTGATCAAATGTACCTACCCTGTGAGGGT